TTCATTGCAGAAAGACTCAGAACACGAGGTCTTAAGAAAAGAAATCCAAAATTTGGACAGAGCTGTGTGAACAGAAAGTTCATGGACTTTATTCTCTACAATAAAGACAACTCAAATATATAACAGGGATTGGTTAACTAGATTAAAGGTTCATCCACGAGCGAAAAAAATTACATGATAAAACACATTAACAAAGATTTGTTTTTAGTGAGGTAGAAAAGGCTGATGATATCCTGTTGAAGTGAAAGAAACAGAATGCCAAGATGTATTTTCAAATGGATCTCAACTCTGTAAAAGTTATGATATTCATGGAAGAAAGATCAGAAGAAAATTCACTCAAATGTTATCTTTCTCTCATCTGCAGAAGAAGCAGAAAAATTACTCAAATCATCCCAACGAGTGAATATAAGATTGTATAATCTTTGAGAGAAAAGGCCAGTATGCAGGGCTTTGATTTAGTCAGAGGAGGTTAGGAAGGTTCCCCTGGAGAAGCCAAGGGGATTTTTTTTTTAATTGAAGTATAGCTGATGTACAATATTATTATACAAGTTACAGGTGTACAATGTAGGGCTTCACAATATTTAAATGTTATACTCCATTTATAGTTATTATAAAATATTGACTGTATTCCCTGTGTTGTACAGTATGTCCTTGTAGCTTTGTAAAAAAAATTTTATTGGAGTATAGCTGATTTACAATCCTTGTAGCTTATTTTATACATAATAGTTTGTACCTCTTAATGCCTACCCCTTTATTGCCTGTACCCGCTTCCCTTTCCCCACTGGTAACCGCTAGTTGGTTCTCCATAGAAAATAAGAGGACTTTTAAAAATTTTATTTATTTATTTTTGGCTGCGTTGAGTCTTCATTGCTGCGCACATGCTTTCTCTAGTTTCTGCGAGTGGGGGCTACTCTTCCTTGCGGTGCGTGGGCTTCTCATTGCAGTGGCTTCTCCTGTTGTGGAGCACTGGCTCTAGGCGCACGGGCTCAGTAGTTGTGGCTCGCAGGCTCAGTAGTTGTGACGCACGGGCTTAGTTGCTCCGTGGCATGTGGGATCTTCCCAGACCAGGGATCGAACCCGTGTCCCCTGCACTGGCAGGCGGATTCTTTTTTTTAATTTATTTGTTTTATTTATTTATTTTTGGCTGCATTGGATCTTCATTGTGGTGAGTGGGCTTCTCATTGCGCTGGCTTCTCTTGTTGTGGAGCACAGGCTGTAGGCACGCGGGCTTCCGCAGTTGTGGCTCAGAGGCTCTAGAGTTCAGGCTCAGTAGTTGTGGCATACGGGCTTAGTTGCTCCGGACATGTGGGCTCTCCCCGGACCAGGGCTCGAACCCGTGTCCCCTGTACTGGCAGGCGGATTCTTAACCCCTGCGCCACCAGGACAGCCCTGGCAGGCGGATTCTTAACAACTGTGCCACCAGGGGAGTCCAGATAAGAGGATTTGATTGTGATTTAGTACCTAGTTTTATTAGAAAGTGTTTTACTATTGGGAAAAAAAAAGGATTAGGTAGTTGCTAATATGGCCTTGAAATCATGTTACCTATAGACCTGGTTTCTCAACTTCGGCACTACTGACATTTTGGGTCAGATAGTTCTTTGTTGTCCGGGGCTGCCCTGGGCTATTGTAGGGTATTAGCATGATCCTGGCCTCTACCTCGTATATAACTAGCACTCTTGTGTTGCCAAATGTCCCCAGTTGGGGGAGGAGGTAAAATTGCCCCCCACTGAGAACCACTGCCATGGACTCAGAGAGTCAACCTCTGCAGCGTGTGAGTGCTCCAGACTGACCTAAAGACCCGCATGCATGGTCCACAGTGAGCCCAGCAAGGGACTGAGGGACAAAAAAACCCAGTCGTGTCAACTCTTTTATTCCTGGTCCATCTCCTCTTCAACTGAAGAAACTGCAGGAGAAATTCTCATTTCTGGAAATTCATTCCTGTTTTAATGAACTTGCTGGAATAGTTTTTTTTCTCTTTTTGAGTACACAGTTGTAGGCTTCAACGTAGCAGGGGATATATTAACCGGCAAGACTAATTGGAGCTAGAAATTGTTCAGTACCAATTTGGGAGTGATAAAATGGCAACAAGCAGAGAGATAGCAAAACGAGGAGGCGGGGGCTTCTCTGGTGGCGCAGTGGTTGAGAGTCCGCCCGCCGATGTAGGGGACGCGGGTTCGTGCCCCGGTCCGGGAAGATCCCACATGTCGCGGAGCGGCTGGGTCCGTGAGCCATGGCTGCTGAGCCTGCGCGTCTGGAGCCTGTGGTCCGCAACGGGAGAGGCCACAGCAGTGAGAGGCCCGCGTACCGCAAAAAAAAAAAACAAAAAAAAGCACGAGGAGGCGGTATCATCAGTTAAGTGGTGATGATTGCAATTAGCCAGACTTTGCAATTATAAATCATCCCAGTAGAAGGGCTCTGGGCCAGGACACTCAGAAAAGTGGACATTTGGCCCCATAAGAAAGCACTTCCAGTGAATTGCAAGCATGATTTCTGAAGCAATTTTAGCTCAACTTCTAAATCTCTAGATTTGAGCAGCTGTTTCCAGACATATAAAGCCTTCTCTTTGAGGCAGGCAGATATCAAATCGATGAGTCCATAGCCTCCAGGAGGTTGGGCCATGTTGAGAAAAAAGCCACTCTATACTTCCCGAATCCAAACTGTGTATTTCCCAAATTAAAGCAGCAGCGGTTACCACATCGGTCCACTTGACCATTTCCTGGCATGAATACTTAGAGACCCAAAGGGGCAATACTTTTGCAGTGGCAGAACATGATTTATGGACACCAGCCTTGCCATTTCAGTTTTTTCAAGCTTAAGATGCTAGGAATCCCACATAGGAAAAAAACCACACATGTAATTATGGCCCTTTCAAGTATAGGGACAACCAAATATCTAATTGCCTTTTTTTTTTTTGGCTGCGTGGCTTGCGGGATCTTAGGCTCCCGACCAGGGATTGAACCTGGGCCCTGGTAGTGAAAGCTGCGAGTCCTAACCACTGGACCACCAGGGAACTCCCCCTAATTGCCTTCTTTTTTTTTTTTTTTTAACATTTTTATTGGAGTATAATTGCTTTACAATGGTGCGTTAGTTTCTGCTCTATAACAAAGTGAATCAGTTATACATATACATATATCCCCATATCTCTTCCCTCTTGCGTCTCCCTCCCTCCCACCCTCACTATCCTACCCCTCTAGGTGGTCACAAAGCACCGAGCTGATCTTCTTGTGCTATGCAGCTGCTTCCCACTAGCTATCTATTTTACATTTGGTAGCGTATATATGTCCATGCCACTCTCCCACTTCGTCCCAGCTTCGTCCCTTCCCCCTCCCCGTGTCGTGTCCTCAAGTCCATTCTCTAGTAGGTCTGTGTCTTCCCATCTTGCCCCAGGTTCTTCATGACCATTTCTTTTTTTTAGATTCCATATATCTGTGGTAGCATACAGTATTTGTTTTTCTCTTTCTGACTTACTTCCCTCTGTATGACAGACCCTAGGTCCATCCGCCTCACTACAAATAACTCAATTTCGTTTCTTTTTATGGCTAAGTAATATTCCATTGTATATATGTGCCACATCTTCTTTATCCATTCATCTGTTGATGGACACTTAGGTTGCTTCCATGCCCTGGCTATTGTAAATAGAGCTGCAATGAACATTGTGGTACATAACTCTTTTTGAATCATGGTTTTCTCGGGGTATATGCCCAGTAGTGGGATTGCTGGGTCGTATGGTAGTTCTATTTTTAGTTTTTTAAGGAACCTCCGTACTGTTCTCCCTAGTGGCTGTATCCATTTACATTCTCACCAACAGTGTAGGAGGGTTCCCTTTTCTCCACACCCTCTCCAGAATTTATTATTTGTAGACTTTTTGATGAAGGCTCTCCTGACCAAAAACAACTTCATTAGATACGCTGTACATATCATAAAATTCGCCCATTATAAGTGTACATTTCAGTGATTTTTAATAAATGTATATAGTTAGGCAACCATCGGTTTGTAATTGCCTTTTTTCCCCAATTGTGGTAAAATACACATAACATAAAATTTTGCATTTAACCATCTTTAAGTGAACTCTTCAGTGGTATGAAGAGCGTTCGCATGACTGTGCGATCTCCAGAGCTCCTTCCATTTTGCAAAACTGAAACTCCACCCACTGAACAGTAACTCCCCGTTTCCCCCTGCACCCAGCCCCTGGCAATCACCCCTCTAATTTCTACCTCCATGAATCTGGCTTCTCTGGGTGCCTCATAGAAGCGGAATCACACAGCATTTGTCTTTCTTGTGACTGGCTTATTTCCCTTAGCACGATGTCTTCCAGGTTCATCCAGGCTGTAGCAAGTCAGAGTTTCTTTCATTTAAAAAAAAAATATTTATTTATTTGGTTGCACCAGGTCTTAGCTGTGGCTCGCTGACTCCTTACCTGAGGCATGTGAATTCTTCGTTGCAGCATGTCTGTGGGATCTAGTTCCCTGACCAGGGATCGAACTCGGGCCCCCTGCCTTGGGGGGGGGGCGTGGAGTCTTAACCACTGCATCACCAGGGAAGTCCTAGAATTTCTTTCATTTTTAAGGCTGAATAATATTCCATTGTACGTATACACCACATTTTGTTTATCCATTCATTTGTTGATGGACTCTTGGGTTACGTCCACCTTTTAGCTCTTGTGAATAATGCTGCTATGAATTTGGGTGAACAAGTATCTCTTCATGTCCCTGCTTTCAGTTCTTTCAGATGTATATCCAGAAGTGGAAATGCTGGATCCTACCGTAATTCTACGTTTAATTTTTTTTAAGGAACTGCCATACTGTTTTCCACAACGGTTGCACCATTTTACATTTCCACCAACGGTAGTTGCCTTTTAATACTCTAGTTTATTTTATTTTAAATATTTATTTATTTATTTGGTTGCACTGGATCTTAGTTGCGGCTCGTGGGCTCCTTAGTTGTGGCATGCAGGCATGTGAACTCTTAGTTGTGGCATGCATGTGGGATCTAGTTCCCTGACCAGGGATCGAACCCAGGCCCCCTGTATCGGGAGTGTGGAGTCTTATCCACTGAGCCACCAGGGAAGTCCCTTAATACTCTAGTTTATATTCAGGTCTCCAAAATCATTCTCCAAATTCATTTATTGTGACTTCTGTGTTCTGTTACCGTGGCTAAGTGCTAAGGACATAATGGTGAAGGTGTCTGCCCTTGTGGAACCTGCAGTGTGAAAAGGGATAAATACATAGACAATTCAATCTATAATTATAAACTTTGAACTATGCTATAAAAGGAAAGAACCAGCTTCTAGAAATCGACACTAATAGGTGAGACCGTTCTAATTTGGATGAGAAAACGCCGGTTTTAGGAAGAAAAATTTGAACTGAGACTGGAGGCTTAGTGGAAGTGGGCAGGTGAAGAGGCGTAAAGAGTAGAAGGGAAGAAAGTTCCTTGCAGAACAGAGCAGAGGTGGGATTTTGTGGACAGAGTTGGAAGGTCTGAGTTCCACAGAGACTTATACCCTTAACTGGAAAGTTCCTGAATTCATACATTCAGCCTACGACTGTTAGTACCCACGAGGCGCTGATGGGAGCTTTGAGTTTGTTTTGCCATGGATGAAATGGGAATAAGAAAGGATTTTAATGAAGCTGAAATGGGATTATGTATCCCAGATACCCTTAGACACAGTAAAGCCTCAATGTTCATAGACTGCTTGAGGAAAGATATAACAGGAAGTCGATTTCCCGACAATTTCTGCCCCGGGCAAACAGTGAGAAGGACTGGATTATACATAAACCCAGTCACCTAACCAAAGGCATTACAAAGTTTAATACCATCCTTTACAATGATCTTTTTTTTTCTCCCTGACTCTGATCACACCCAGGTCTTTTGGTTTTAGGGAATATTAAATCATCCAAAAAATTACCGTGGATTAGGGACTGGCCTTCTGCCCTGCCGTGCGCCATTTACTCCCCCCCACCCGCTTTGTTCTAGGGTCTTACTTCACCTCCAGCTTACTAGCTCCTGGCTCATCAGTTGGAAGTAGATTCAAAAAGTGTACTGTGCCTTTCTTTTCTTAATATAATATTCATGGGAGGTTTTTCCTTTGGGGAAAACTTCTCTTTGACTTTCTCCGTACAAGTTATTTCCACAGACTGTGGATTTTTCAGGACAGGCTTAATTTAACATGTTTTCTTTTACTACAATTTTTACTTGTTTAGCTATCTTGTCCATATTCAGCTACCACTGAACGACAATCATTGGGATGTGATGAAAGAATTTTGAAATCGGGCTTAGGGATTGAGCGCATCCACTTCCTAATTAAGTTATTTCATGTCCTTAAACCTCAGTTTCCTCATTTTCAAAATGGATAAAACAATGCCAACCTCTCTTGGAAGATAAAAGGAGAAAGTGTGCATTTAGTGCAGCCTGTGGTACATACCAGGAGCTCAATTAATTATTATTATTATCACTTGGAGACTCAAGTGGCATAATTTTAATACCTTGTTCTAAGCAGAAACGGCATCGTGTTTTCACTATCACCAACTAAAATAAGTATAAACAACTATATCTTCAATTAAGTTTTCCTTAAACCACTAACATTTCTTGAGCTGTAAACCTAGTGCACATGCATTTAGATTGGTAAATTACATCTACCACACTACCTTACACAGAAAAGGTGTTGGGAATATAAGCAGATTAGTCAGTGAGGCAGGTGTTAATTGGCTTTTTTACTCAGTATGAGAATTCTAAACAGCTTCCATGTATTATTAAACCAAATTCTTACTTTTCCAACTTGGGCTGTTGACTGTAATTCTCTCTTTTTTGGTTTAGGGGACTTAAAACAATGCCAAGCATTTTCAAACAATGACTCAAAAATTGGAGGTTAACCTTCTTTCCTTCAGTAAGTTTTATTGATGGCTATGAATATCAAAAAGATGATGAAGCTGATTTATTTTCTGCCTTGGGTTGTCCAAACACCCAGGTGAACATCTTTATCAGTTTAGCATTCTATTTTGCTTGCATTCCCGATGAGCTTACCAGAAACTCTAACAAGCTGGGAAGGTGATGAATAACTAATTAAGAAAATGCAATGCACAAATGTGGAGGAACGGTCTATAATTGCACAGTTCCTTACAATGAAGTAAATGCTAAATACACACGCATGCCCAGAGGCACCAGGGAAACACCAATCAAAGACTTAGAAGGCTGAAGATTTCATCATTTATTCAACATTTATTGAGCATTTACACCATGCAAGGCAGTTAATGGAATAAAATACATAGAGATTTACTGTAGAGGTGTGTATACATATAATATTATACACACATACACACTTTTAGAAAATTCCAGGCATCTCCATGTCAGGATGATGCAATCACTTTGAACTACACATCTTTTCCACAGTAAAGTCCATATTGCAAAAAATTTCGATAATGATTAGTTTGGCAACACCCAGTTACTATGACAACGCCCATTGCTGATCCATGGGAGATGTAAGAGGATTGTCTCAGTAATAAAATGATGTTATCAGACATTTATGGCTTGTGGGGAAAAAGTGCAGTCGCTCCTTGTTTTGATATTATCTCTGACTATACTTGCTTTTAATCTACCTTTTCTATATTTAGTATCCAGTCATTTTAAATTAAAAAAAAAAAACAAAACCCAAACCAAAAATCAAGGTCTGCACTGTGACAGTAAACCAAACCTTTTGAGTATGAATCCTGGAGGTTACTATTTAGCATTTAAAGGAAATAAATCATGGTGAGGGGGTAATCTGAAATTTGAAGGCCACCTTAAGAGTTGAAATGGGGTGGGAAGGTTGAATATACCACCATTTACCATTCTTCAGATACCTCCAGACTCAATTTAAACATTTCAGTGAAAAAGGAGATGGGAGGGGACACGGGTCAAATCTCAGTTTTTTGTTTTGTTTTGTTTTTGTTTTTTTGTTTTTTGGTAGATGTAAACACTGAGCCAAAATACTTCACTGAAAAGACCTTCCTCCCCGGCTTGCGAGGATATCAACCTTACAAAAGTAATTTTTGGAGCACACTACCAAATACGCTCGTTCCAAAACTGTTACGGAAGCTCCAAGTTTTTAGTAAATACACAATCATTTTTCTTTTTCTCTCCGAGGATTCAGATAGCTGAAGCGAGGATGGGTCCCCCTCGGATTTCGTCCACGATCCAGCCAATCTGAGCCCGGATGCTAATTAGTTGCTCTCCCCCGATGAACACGCCTTTGTCGCTTGTAGGGCCGGACTACAAAGCCCAGAATGCCTCGCCCCTCCCTGATCAATGAGGTCTTATTTAAATGATCTCTGAGGTCTTGGACCCAGGCCAATCAGCTGTCAGGGCTCATGATAAATCGCAATGCATTATTGATAATAATAATTACTGGGACATGCGCGTTCCGGCCGAAGGGGGGTAAATTTCCCAACTCCAGGAATTTGTGGCGGAGTGGGCAAATAACCGCGGCTCTCCAGGCGCCCCGATGCTCGCACCATGTCGAGGCGCAAGCAGGCGAAACCCCAACACATCAACTCGGAGGAGGACCAGGGCGAGCAGCAGCCGCAGCAGCCGGCCCCGGAGTTTGCAGATGCGGCCGCAGCGGCGCCGGCGGCGGGGGAGCCGGGTGAGTGGGGCTGGGGGCGCACGCCCCGGGCGGGCAGTTTCCGGGACGTTCGCGGGACCCTCGAAGGCGCGGACTTTGCGGAGCCAACGGCTTCCACTGCAGACTGTGGAACCGAGATCTGGGGGCTCAGTTCCAGAGGAGAGCGGCAGCCTCATTCCCCACCCCCACCCTCGTTAATTTTACACTTCTCCCCTTTTATCGCTTCTCCCCTCTTGTGTAAGTTTCACCCCCAGGTCTCGCTCTTATTGTAAAATTGACCCCCAGCCTCTCCTGTGTCCCTCGTTCCTGAAATGTTCCCTTCTCCTTGTCCTCTGCCCCTCTCGTAATTGGTTCCACTCCCCTCACTAGTAGCCTCCCCCCCCACTTGTAACTTAGGCTCCCCTCCTCCCTCCCTGGCGCTGCTTTTTAAAAGAAAGACCCCGGGGGTCCCCACTCTTTCCCTCACCCGTTAGGGTCTTTGTAGGAGGCTGGGGAAGGGGCGCACCCTAGGAAGACCTCCCGGGGGAGGACGATCTGTTGCACGCGCCCCTCCCGGGCCAAGAGGGGGGAGGGGGCGCGACCTCTCCCCACCCCCAGGAGCTGGGGTGCGGGCCACCAGCGCTGCGGAGGGGATTGGAGGGCCCGAAGAGGTGGAGGAGAAGAGCACAGTATTTTCCTTTTTTAAAAAAATTTCTTTTTTGGTTCTCCTCTTTTCTCCCGGGGCTACGCCGCCTGCCGATCTTCGCCCTAACCTTTCGGGGCCTGACCTCCAGCCATCTTTGATTTCCGACTTCCTAAAAATAAACCGCGGCCGGCGGGAGGGGTGTGGGCCCCCAGGGGCGGGGGTCGTGGGCGCACAGCAGCCCCGCTGGGGTGCACCAGCCTGGCGTTTTGCGTGCCTTTTCTAGGGCGCCCGGCTTTCCAAACGCGCGCCCCGGGGGCCAGAGGGGAGAGGTCGGGCCAGGACTGGGCGGTCGTGGCCAGGGCGAGCTCCGGGGTCTGACCCGGCCCACGCTTCCGCGCTGCGCGTCTTGAGGGTCTGGAGGAGTTCTGGACCCCCAGCCCGGTCGGGAGCGGCCAAGCAAACTCCTCTCTTCCTAATCATGTAACCCAGGGGGCTTTAGGAGCCAGTCGATTTCCCACTATCTCCCCTCCGTCCTGGCCCGCCAAATTGTCGCCTGATAAGTTTTTCGCGTACGCGTGGGGGGAGGGGGCGTTTTTAACGTCCTCTTGGGCCTTGTTGGTGGCTTCTGTCCTCTCGCCGCCTGCTTTCTAATTTCCCAGCCCGTGATGGGGGTGTGCGCGGCAACCCCACTCCGAGCTACAACTCCGATGGGAAAACGGTTGCTACGTTTTGGTTACCGTACCTTTTATTTCGGGGAGGGAATGTGGTAAATTTCCTAAATTTATAATATAATGTAAACCCCTATTTCCCCTCAAATAACATTTTTCCAGGGCAAATTAAAGAGATCTGCTTGACCGAGGGGGCGGCTGTGCGTTTTCGGGCGTCCGATGGTCAGGGCAGCGTGCACCCAAGGTCGGAGGAGGGTGGACTCTCTTTGTGCCTTGGGAGGGGGAGTGCGGGGGAGAATGGAGAGGCTTCGTTGCCTGGCCCACCTGGAACAAAAGGGTTAACCCTCTGCCCGCCCGCTTCCTCCCGAGAGGAGGGGCGAGCTCCTGGCTCTGACCCCTCCCCTGGTCCTGCTCTGACCTCCCCTTCCCCCTACCCGCTTCATTTTGGGTGGGCGCGCTGAAGTGGGGCTTTTGGTGGTGTTTGGCACCTTAGGGGGAGCTTCTTAAATTAACGCTAGCTGGAGTTTGCAATCAGTTAACCCGAGCTGGTTAGGATCGCGGGCCTTGGCTGTGCGCTCCCTCCACGATTTGGGAGGGGGAGTTGCTATTGATCGCTTGGGTTGGAGTGGACGGCCGAGCTGCGCGCAGGCGCCCCCTGGAGGCCCAGCCGGGAACCTCGCCCTTTGCTGAGAGGCGGGTCCCTTCGCAGGTACCGGCTCACACCTGATGGGTGGGACAGGCTGGGGCTGGGGGATGGAGAGCGCTGGGCTGGGCTAGGCTAGGGACTCCAGTCGGTTGCTTGAGCTATCCCTGGCTGTGCCGGGTTTTCTTTGCCAAGTCTTTGGAATTCTTGGAAAGAATTCTTCGATCCTCGAATGTGTTTGCAGAGTCCCCCAGTTGCCATGATGGGACAGAAGGTAGTTTTCCCAAGTAGTACATTTTAACTGACGCATTTTGTATTTGAGCGGCCTGTATGTATCATTTTAAAAATCCAGTTTAGACTGGTCTTATTTTGCAAAGCCAATTTGAGACCCACTTATAAAGAATGTACTTTTTGAGGGAGGAAAATGAAGTACGGCAAAAAAATTAGATCAGAAAATCTGCAGGTGGTCAGGGGACTCAGGCTACATACAGGAAAATTAGCATTTTCTCAAAAGAGTTTCAAATGCCCTTTGTGCTAAACTGGATTACAGCCATCAACGATTAAGATTCCCAAATTTCAAATAACTGCCTAGCCCCAGTTTCTAAACTGAAATGACCTACATTGGCGGTAAGGATTCTGAGAATAGGGCACTTGGGAGCTTATATTTTAATAGAGGGAGAGGGAAATCTTGTTGATCGAAGCGTTAGTTAATGTTGCAGGCTGACTTTCTGTGTTTCCATCTGAGTTTCTGAAAGGGGCTACAACTTGCCCACACCGCTTTTGTTCCGTCAAAAAGAAATTGCACAAGTCAATGCTAGTTGGTCCTTCAAGCCCCTGCAGCCTTCCTCACGGTGGGGAGTTGGGGAGCCATCTTGGGAGGGAGGGATAGAGTTAATGCTTCCTCTTTTTAAATGAAGTTAGGTTTTGGTAAGATTTTACAGTGAGGTGTGCATTCCAATCTGGTTGTATGACTTTCAGCTGTGTAACCTTGCTTTCTGAGCTTTTGGGTTCTTCCTGTGCACCATGGAGATGAAGCATGCTGTTTATTTAGATAGTTTCCACTATACAAGACCCACTGTGTGCTGGAAACGTGATCAGTAATTAATTTTGTTCAAAATAACAATGTTTTATTTTTTATTGTGCCAAGACGGCACTGAACTGCCAAGTTGAGATAATTCTGCAGTTTTATCTGTAGCCTACTGTGTGCCAGACACCAGGCTGGGGACCTCAACGACATTATCTGTAATCCTCGTTTTTACTCATTTTAGAGTAAACTTTAACTCCTGGTTGCAATGGCTTGCCCAGGGTTGCCTTGTCCTGTTTGATTTGAGCCTTGCTCTGAATCCAAGAAGCTGTGTTTATCGTGGTTTTAGAAGAGTTGGTTATGGGATGGGATTTTCTATCAGATGAGGGAGCTATGGTGAGTGTTCAGCTGGTTGAGTGTTATCTCTCCTCCTCCCTTTTAATTTTTGAGATGTGCCTCTGCAGGCTTTAGAATAAGAGGTCCTGGGAAGCAAGTCGAAAATAAAGCAGAGTTTGCATTTGGTGCTCAGGGCTTTACTGCCCTGGAAAAAATGATGGGAAGAGTTCAAGATATTCCCTTTTTCATCATCCTTAACCTATTGTGCTTTTGATTGTTTAAAAAAGCATCTAAAAATTTTAAAAGCTCTAAATTCATGTAAGAACTGCATCTCTGATCGTTGCCATCTATTTTTTTTCTTCTAGATTTCAAGTCTATGTCAGGCTTTGTTCTAGGGGGATCTGGGGAAGGAGGCAGCAAAAGCTCCTGCCTTCATGGAGTTTACAAATTGCTTAAAAGATGAGCTCCAGTTGAGGCGATATGGGACGTATCTCTACAGCGTAAATAGCAGAGCTCGCACACCTTATAGCACAAAGAAACTTTGATTCTTTTACTTCTTCCTTTTCAGCAGACTTGAATTTTGATCCAAGACCATTTGGAACAAATTTTTTTTGTACCTTAATTAAATAGAAAGTTAATTGCTGCTCTAATTTGCCACCTACAAATTGAGTTAAGGGCTTGTTCCTTAAGTGTTTCCCGGGATTGCTGAATTCAGATGTAAAATTAAACTGGTAAACCAGTTTCTTTGAACTGGTTCAGTACTTAAGGACATCTCAATTTCCTTTTGTTTTTTGGTAAGCAGTTATCCTGCTGGTGGGGGTGGGGTAGAAGATGTTTATGGACTCTAGATAATCTGCTCATTGTCGTTCTTTTAATATAGGAATGGGGGGGGGGAAGATAAGCTTGAGGCATAATGCTTTTCTCGAGATACACAGGTTTGTTTCTTAAGCATTTTCACTGGCTCCAGAATTTGATTGGCCTCTGGCAGATGAGCTTTCTTCCTATACAATAGTAAGAGTATTTTCTATCCTTTTGGCAGGGATTGAATCTAAGCCCCCTGCTGGGTTTACTGCATTCTTCCAACTTATTGGATAACTAGATGCTGAGAGATAACATTCCTAAAATTCGGAGTGGGGGTGGGGTGGAAGGGTGGAAGATCTAGTTGCTGTGTAATCCCTCTGAACTTTGCTTTTTCCTTTTGGGAAGGGTTAACTTAAGCATACCCAGCAATTGTTCATAACAGAGTCGTCTTACTCTTTGGCAAATACGCTTTCAGTATTTGCCAGTGGTGGTCTGAATGTCGAAGTACTTTTTACTGCACCAGCAAACAGAGCTCCTGCTGTTTGAAGACTCAAGTGGGATGTTGCCGGTATTGCTTGGAGGCTACAGAAGAGGCAAGCCTGTGTATACAGTGCAGGCAAGCTGGTATTCAGGTTGTAAATCACTCTTGGGAACTGTTGGATCCTTCTAGGGCAGGGAGCTTAACCTTTTTTGTGCCACATTCACCCCTTCTCATCAGAATGTATTTAAATGCATACAATAAGATGCATAGAAATACCAAGGAAATAAATTGCGTTGAGATAACACTTAGTAAAAGTAACATGTGCTTCTTTGTGAACACAATAAAGGAGATCTAGCAGTCAGTCAGGTAACCAGAATTTCCAGTAATGCAACCGCATTGACATCATAGGAAAATACCTGCTTTCTGTTGATGACATAGGCATGGGTTCTGCAAATACCGCTGAGGTATGTTCCCCACGCTCATAATTGAAAGAAATGTTAAGTTTTAATTCAGCTGAGTGAAAATAAGGTTGCCATCTTTTTTTCCCTGTCTAATTTCATCAGCCCCAGTTTAAAGAGTTATCTCCTTTAAAACCTGCATTGTCAGTACGGGAATATTGTCCCCAAGGGGGTGAAAATTGGTTATTTTTTTGGGTGGGGCAAAAATGTTTATTGATGTTACAGTGGTTTGTGGCCTTCCAAAGGCCATAGTGCATAAACAGATAATATAATATATTGGTGGTATTAAAATTTGGCGGGGGGGGGGCGGTGATTAGGAAAAAAAAGCTTTAAAAGCCTTCCTAGAGGGGTAAAATGAAAAAAAGTTCAAGAAACTGCTCTAGAAGAAACAATTATAAATCAGGCCACTAGCTTCAGTTCTCCTCTTCAATAGTATTTAAGGCTATAATCCCTGCCCTTGTGTTTTACCAGCACGGCACCTTGAGGCAGTTATTTCTGAGCCTTAGTTTCCATGTTTGCGAACAAAGATGCTTGTTTACGTGGTTACGAAGATAAGTGAGTTAAGGTATAGGAGTCTGAAGTGAGTGCTTTGTTGCAGTTTGTGGAGGATGGTAGTAGTTTTGCTTTGGCCCTTAACAAGCATTTGTACATGAGCTTTGTTAGAGATTTCCAGAAGTAGAATGGCTGAGAAAAGGGGTGTAACATGCTAATTAAAAAGAAGCCAAAGTACAGAAGTGTATACATTGATTTATTTTTTTTCTGTGGTCACACTGCACGGCATGTGCCTCCCTGACCAGGGATCGAACCTGCGTCCCCTGCATTGGAAGTGTGGAGTCTTAACCACTGCACCGCCAGGCAAGTCCCAAAAGTGTATACATTTTAAAGTTTCTCTTCCACCCCAGGCCTGTGCTCCAAGAGGCAGGGACCAGCCACAGCATCTATTATTTCAAAAGTTTCCCACGTACATACTTATATCTTTATCCCTAGACACAAAGAGGGGGGAGCACGTTATCTATACATCCTGTTCTCTACACTTTTTTCCCTCTTGAAATCAGTCTTGGGTGGTTGTCTTACAGATCAAGCATATATAATAAAGATCTACTTTATTTTAGAAGGCTACAAAGTAGTCATCCCTTTCGTGTACCCTGATTTATTCAATCAGAACCGTACTGACGGACCAGAGTGCGTCCTTTTTTGTTTAGGCTGTTTGTTACTATGAAACCTGTATCCTGGTATCACAGAAAGTAAACTCCTAACAAGGGAATTGCTGGGTGGAAGGAGAATTGCACTCAAATGATGATGTTGGTGGACTGTGCTCTGAAGAAGTTGTATGTATTTATAGGCACCAGCCTACTGGTGTATTTCCCTCCCAAGAGAAACTCTTTAAGTTCTACTTCTAAAGTTCTTGACACATAATTGCCAAAATTGCACTTCCAGAAAGATTGTGCCCATTTAACAACACACCCCAGCAAACACCATGTTAGAAGTCTTGGGAAAGTGTACCAATAGATACTATCTTAAGGATTCTGGGAATTGATGAATATATTTAACTTGATTCTTGGAAATTTTATTGCTTTGGAGCAGTTGTGGAGCCGGAAGGAAGGAGGTACCTACCTGCTACACTCCACACGGAAGTAGCAGGGGTGTATTGTGTCCTAAGTTAACCTCCCCACACGTCCAAACCTGACCCCTCAAGCTTTCCTGTTCCTCCTGGGGTTTCTGTGAGAGGAAAGATAGTTGCCAGTCTCAACAGAAGAAACATATGCTTAGGAGGAAGGGTATCAAGGAAGAGTTCAAGGGGACGGTCTGGGTCCTGCGTGCCTTGGTTTTAACGTTGGCTCCGCAGTTTACCACATGCCCTACCTTGGGGAAGTTAATGTCCTGTGCCTCAGTTTCCCCCTCTGTTAAATATAATAGTCTCTACCTCAAGAGTTGTTAATAACATGTAAATTACACCTGGTACATAGTAAGTGCTCAAAAGTTACCTATGACTAGATTTTTCGTTGTGTTGCCTTGGGTATAAGTCACATTACATCCAAGTCTGTTTTTCTTATCTGTAAATGGGGCTGATGTTAAATAGGGTTGGATGGGTATAGTGTGGAGCCCAGGGCACCTGGAGGTTCTAGTCTGGACTACAGGAGGCTCTTAGGCTGCTCATCTTTTTATCACCCCCTTAGCCCCTGCCTTGTACTCAGTAGGAGGCGAGAAGTCTTGTTAAACGAGTGAGGCTTTAAATGACTGGTACAAGGCTTATTGTGTTCCGCAGCCCTAGTTGCCCAGGTAACCAGATAAGCCGCGGAAATAGAAAAGGTGGAGAAACTGATGTTAACTGAATACGTACAGTATCTGCACTTTCAGGTCATAGGATGGTGCCAGGGTCACAGTCAGCACTCGACAAACATTTGTTAAATTAATCACATCACTTAACACAGGCATCTAACTTACGTGGTTGTCACGATTTTGCACATTTAATAGAAATCCTGAGGGGTAAGCCCACCACATCAAACCTGTTTTCCATGGATTGATCCTGACCCGTTTGCTTTCTCTTGGCTTACCCCCGACCCGCATACACCTTGCAGAACTTCTGATGATTATTTAGTCTGAAATTAGGAAAAATTAAGTCAATTTATTAAGGCCGTGCTATGGAAATGTATAAGAACCAGTGTTTGAAAATCTGATGGAAAGTATAGATCTTTCTCGAGAGAAATACACTTTGTTGCAAGATCAGCCCCTCCCCAAATCGTTGACTGACTCCTCAGTCAAAAACCCATGCTGTTGGGAAATGTAATCACCCAAGGAATTGAGGCAAAATGGGTTAGTTGGCTTTACAAAGTGATCATTTTATTTAAAAGATAAGTGGATACTGCCTGGCCTTACCCCCATGCATTTGTACATTTCAAATAGGATTCGTTTTAAACAAAAATGGTCACACCTTACAAACTATTCTGTAATCTACTTCCACCTAACTTCTGTCTCCATGTCAGGACGTACGGAAATGCTGCATCGTTTTTGTACTGTGGGTAAACCAAAATTTACCTTTTTTTTCCCCCCTCTTTTGTGGCTCTAAACATTTCTGTTAAAAATATCCCTCTTCCTCCATGGATTTTTTTAAAAAAATAAGTTTATTTATTTATTTATATTTGGCTGTGTTGGGTCTTTGTTGCCGCACGCAGGCTTTCTCTAGTTGCAGCGAGCGGGGGCTACTTGTTGTGGTGGCTTCTCCTGTTGTGGAGCGCAGCCTTCAGTAGTTGTGGCGCACGGGCTTCGTTGCTCTGCGGCATGTGGGATCTTCCTGGCCCGTGTCCCCCGTGCTGGCAGGTGGATTCTTAACCACTGCGCCGCCAGGGAAGTCCTCTCCATGGATCTTTGTATATGTGTGCAAATGTCTGTGGTTTGGATCTGCGCACCTGGAGTTGCTGGGTCTGAGGTGTGCCTATATGACTTCTCAGTGGTAAGGTGTACATATAATAGGTGAGGCAGGAAATGAGAAAAATAAAGTAGCTTAGAGGTTCTCCACCTGCCAGGACTCGGGCATCTGGCTAAAAAAAGCACAGTCCCCCGACAGGCATTGTGACGTGCAGACTAGCAGTCACTGTGAAGGAAATAGGACCCAACTGCAAAAGAAGTCCAGGGACCACTCATTTTCAGGAATAGAACTACCCAGAATAGGATGGTTGGTTGACTTTTGTGTAACAGAGTAGAAGTTGCAAACGGAAGGTGAGGAATAAAATCCATCATTCCCATCCCTTCCTTCCTTTCTTGGGCTTCTTTCTTTGTTTAATGGCTTATTAATCCTTTAATGACCTGTTAAGGCATTTCTGTAGGTTTTTCATAATCAGGAAGGTCAGTGAAGTTTTTTTTCTTGGACATGCAATCTTTCCTTTTTTTTCAGTGTGTTTTTTCTTATTAATTTTTAGCACTTTAAACTTTCATTGTCCCTGGTGGGAAGGTACACTTACCACATTGTCTGAATGAGTGACTTACTGCAATTTCACTTTCGATGGGCCCAGGATGGAGATGAGCGGCCATGAATTGAGCAGGTTTCCAACATCATTTTATGGTGGCATGAGATCCATTTGCCTTTCGAGCCAGCTCTCAGCTGGGTGAGGGCCAGAGCTCCAAGAGGATTATTTTAATGAATTGTATGCGTTTCCCAGGGCTGCCTTAATAAGTTGGCACAGACTAGATGGTTTAAGACAGATTTATTCCCACAGTTCTGGAGGGTGGACAGCTGACATTTAGGAGTTGCAGGGTTCCTTTTGGAGCCTCTGAGGGTGAGTCTGTACCAGGCCTCCTCCCTACCTTTTGTTGGCTTCCAGCCGTCCTTGGCTTATAAAAGCCACGTAACTCCTGCCTTGGCTTCATGTGGCCTGATTCTGTCTCATGTCCCTTTCTTTTCTCCTTAGGGACACCAGATACTGGGCTTGGGACCCACCCTAATTACAACTGCAAAGATTTCCCCCCCTGCCCCAAAGAAGGTCACTGGCACAGGTGCAGGGGTTAGGATTGGACATTTTGGGACCTTATGATTTGACCCCCACTACCTAAGTGATTGGTTCATTTGAGACTCTTTGGGTGCCTTGTTCCCTTACACAGTTTTGTGCGTGTTGGGACACAGATCACGAAGACCTCTGGACTGTGAGCTGTGGTTTTTCCCAAGAAATCGCCCCACATCCTTTCTTGGGTAGAGTTCTTAGCTTTTTCTCTCTTGTCACAGGTACTCCAATGAACCCCCCAGGGAGTGGCGATGACGTGAACGTGGACGGAGCAGGGATAAAGAGGCCTCGGCGGGAGGAGACTCACATCTGTGAGAAATGCTGTGCCGAGTTCTTCAGTTTCTCGGAGTTCTTAGACCATAAGAAGAATTGCACTAAAAATCCACCTGTCCTCATCATGAACGACAGCGAGGGGCCGGTGCCTTCAGAAGACTTCTCCGGGGCTGTGCTGAGCCACCAGCCACGCAGCCCAAGCAGGAAGGACGGTCACAGAGAGGACGGTGGCAGCTCAGGGGACACGAGGGAGAAGCCGGGGGCAGAGTCCATCGTGTACTTAAAGACGGAGGCCGCCCTGCCACCCACACCCCAGGACATAAGCTATTTACCCAAAGGCAAAGTGGCCAACACCAACGTCACGCTTCAAGCGCTACGGGGCACCAAGGTGGCCGTGAACCAGCGGGGCGCAGACGCGCCCCCAGCCCCGCTGCCCGGCGCCAGCAGCATCCCCTGGGTCCTCGAGCAGATCCTATGTCTGCAGCAGCAGCAGCTCCAGCAAATCCAGCTCACGGAGCAGATCCGTGTGCAGGTGAACCTGTGGGCCTCCCACGCCCTCCACTCCAGCGGTGTGGCCGGAGCTGACTCCCTGAAGACGCTGGGCGGCCACGTGTCCCAGCAGGTTTCAGCGGCTGTGGCTCTGCTCAGCCAGAAGGCGGGGAGCCCAGCTTTGCCCCTGGACACCTTGAAGCCAGCCAAGCTACCTCACACCAGCATCCCTTCTGCTGCCAGCTCCGTGTCCCCAGGGCTGACGCCCTTCGCCCTGAAGCCAGACGGGACCCGGGTGCTCCCCAACGTCCTGTCGCGTCTCCCGGGGGCGTTGCTACCTCAGGCCCCAGGCTCTGTGCTCTTCCAGAGCCCCTTCTCCGCGGTGGCGTTAGACCCGTCCAAGAAAGGGAAAGGGAAGCCACCGAGTGTCTCCCCGGTAGATGTCAAACCCAAGGACGAGGTCCTCTACAAGCACAAGTGTAAGTACTGTAGCAAGGTTTTTGGGACTGATAGCTCCTTGCAGATCCACCTCCGCTCCCACACCGGAGAGAGACCCTTCGTGTGCTCTGTCTGCGGTCACCGCTTCACCACCAAGGGCAACCTCAAGGTGCACTTTCATCGGCATCCCCAGGTGAAGGCAAACCCGCAGCTGTTTGCCGAGTTCCACGACAAGATGGCGGCAGGCAGTGGCCTTCCCTACGCGCTCTCTGGCCCTGTCCCCGTAGATGAATCCGGGCTCTCCTTAGACAACAAACCCGTCCTTGCGACGGGGATCCCCAATGTAGGGCTATCTCAGAATCTTTCTTCGGGGACTAACTCCAAGGACCTCATGGGTGGCCCGTTGCCCAGCGACCTGCAGCCCGGGCCTTCTCCGGAAAGTGAGGATGGATGCATCCTACCTGGGGTGGGGCCCAACCTTAACTCCCCGAGGGTTGGCGGCTTCCAAGGGAGTGGGACACCCGAGCCGGGGTCAGAGACCCTGAAATTGCAGCAGCTGGTGGAGAACATCGACAAGGCCACCACCGACCCCAACGAATGTCTCATATGCCACCGTGTCTTAAGCTGCCAAAGTTCCCTCAAGATGCATTACCGTACCCACACCGGGGAGAGGCCGTTCCAGTGTAAGATCTGTGGTCGAGCCTTCTCCACCAAAGGCAACCTGAAGACGCACCTCGGGGTGCACCGGACCAACACGTCCATAAAGACGCAGCACTCGTGCCCCATCTGCCAGAAGAAGTTTACCAACGCGGTCATGCTGCAGCAGCATATTCGGATGCACATGGGCGGTCAGATTCCCAACACGCCTCTGCCGGAGAATCCCTGTGACTTTACGGGTCCCGAGCCGATGATGGTCGGTGAAAATGGCAGTACAAGCGTTGTCTGTCATGATGATGTCGAAAGCATCGATGTAGACGAAGTCTGCTCCCAGGAGGCTCTTGGCAGCTCCTCGAAGGTCCCCATGCCCCTTCCCAGCATCCACTCGGCATCACCTACTCTAGGGCTGGCCTCGGTGGCTTCCCTAGATGCCCAGGGGAAGACAGGTCTCACTGGTCTTGTCCTGCAGCGACAGAGCAGCCGAGAAAATGGTTCCGTGGAGAGTGATGGCTTGACCAACGACTCTTCCTCCTCGGTGATGGGGGACCAGGAGTATCCGAGCCAAAGTCCAGATGTCCTGGAGACCACGTCCTTCCAGGCAGTCTCCCCAGCCAATAGCCAAGCGGAGAGTGTCAAGTCCAAGTCTCCTGATACCGGTGGCAAAGTGGACAGCTCCGAGAACAGCCGCACTGAGACGGAAGGTGATAGAGCTTTGGATTTAACTTAGGTCCATTCTGGGCACAGAGTCGTCCAAAAGGAACCTGGGTTGAACTTGACAAATGGAGAGTGTGGTATATGTGAAATAGCTCCCCTGTAGGGCGATTAGCCTTTCTGTGGGTACTTCTGGATAGAGGGCAATAATAACTACCTCTGTCGTAGTAGAGACATGCTTTTGTTTACGACGGTTCTTGCAAGCTGGGTGTGGACAGCGTACTTACTTTTGGTGGGTTTTTATTTTTGTGTTTGAGCCCTGTGGGGGCAACATGGGTAATCCTAAGTAAGTGCTCCAGTAGAAGAGTATTTGAGAAAGTGGGCACTGCTCTTTGGCCAGTGAGATAAGCCATAGTTCCTTGATTCTGAAACCTCACTCCCTTATGTAAAGTTCACAAATTAATAACTCTTGAGGGAGAGGAAAGAACCTAACCTATTTTAAAAGCACCCCGTATAAATGGGGTGCCTATTGACGGCATTAATGGCAAAAATGGGAGAATAGCAACATCGTAGAATCAGAAAGATAGTGTCAGGGCTTACTTTATAAAGGTAACTGAATGCAGGAATTTGAACTTGGAATTGCATTGCCTGTGACTGTTGCTGATACCTTTAAAGCCAAAATAGTAACCTTCTCTGAAGTGCTGGAGTCATTCTCCGTGCAGATAAACAAGTAAAAGGAAAGCTGCTTGCAAGGTGTCAATTTCCTGAACGCTATTCGCAGGCTGTCAAACGGTGGGGCAGTTGTGGTCAAAGCTCCTTTCTTTTTGGATTGAAGAATGAATGACTGTAGGATGATAATTTGGGTTTTTTTCTTCTGTGCACGCCAGGTCGGAGCACTGGCCCACCGACATTTATCCGAGCCCAGCCAGCCTATGTCAAAGTCGAAGTTCCTGGTGCGTTCGTTGGTCCCGCGACCGTGTCCCCAGGCGTGACACCTTTGCTCGCCATCCAGCCCCGACGACAGGCCAAGCAGCACGGCTGCACGAGGTGCGGGAAGAACTTCTCATCTGCCAGCGCGCTTCAGATTCACGAGCGGACTCACACCGGGGAGAAGCCTTTCGTGTGTAACATTTGCGGGCGAGCTTTTACCACCAAAGGCAACTTGAAGGTGAGTTCACGCCTCGCAGTGCAGTCAAAAAGGAAAAAACAGAAAAAAGAAGAAGCAGACTTTCTCACATTACAGCATCTCTGAAGTTGGGATTCTCGTTGTAGTCAGTGCCTGCATGAAATCGTTCAAGTCTGGAAACACAGATGATGTTTGTCTTGTATTGTAATGTAGTGTTGATAAATCCTTTACGGATTTGCCTGTGCTTTCAGACTTGATGACCACCCTGTACGTTGGTTTTTGTTTTCCTGGCCTGCTAGGTTGAAATAAATACCACGAGTTAAACATAGATACAGTGCCACTGGAGTTAAAGGAGGAAAGCCTCCAGGTTTATTGGCCTTTCTTTGAAACTGAACAGCTGGGTTCTTCCAAAGAATGTCGTGTGACTATTGTTAGGATAAGTTGGTTCCACCTAAGATATTACCTGGGAGACTGTCCCATGTAAGGATCGAAAGTGGCCTGTGTAAGGACACAGGATGGGAAACCTGGGTTTCCCTCATGGTCCTGCCTCTACTTTGTTCCAGGCGTGTTCCTCTGGACCTCTTTTCTCTAACTAGCTCCCCAGTGAGTAGACTAGTTGAATTCTTTGTCATGAGAATGAAGGTTGAAACTTCATCTTAAAGTTGACCTAGAAGACCTCATGTCATTTTAGAAATTAAAAGTACTTATTGAAAAAACTATATTCTCTTAATATTTTAGTCTAGGTGGCAAAAATGTCAGGGGAGGAACATGGAAGTAATTTAATCTGTAACCCCAACTTCCAGAAATACAAAGCGTAAATTTATTCAGGGGCCTTGGATCAACCTGGGGAAGGTTTGGAGCTGCTTGGGCAGGTGGCTCCTGTGCCTCGGTTTCTCAGGCATGGGGATCATGGTAATGACCTCAGGGTTGCTTGGAGATTAATTGAGTTGTATGAGTGTTTCACGTGATGCCAGGAACATCTTAGTAATTTCTTGGAGTGATGAAGAGCAAGTGACGTCTGAGCCCGCTGGGATAACTGCTGACTTCTAGGCATGTCAGTGAAGTGATGTGAGAATGCTTGAAACCCAGGACCCATCACGTTCTTCAACTCTTTATAAAGAAAGGGATTTGAAAACTCAAAAACCAGACCAGGAACATAATTGCAGGTAGGAGGCTGCAGGTCGAAGCAGCAGTAAGTGGTAGGATCTCTTTCCTCTTCAGAAGAGTCCTTGCGTTGTCTGCTACCATAGATGAAATAACATTCATTCCCCATGGCCTCGTGTAACCTTCCCAACTAGGCTTATTTTTCTCTAAAGCAGTGATTACTCTTGTTGACACACTTATGTATTTAGGATGTCACCTCCATCAGGCCAGGGTCTGTTTTGTTCAAAGATTATTTTTTTAACTCAAATTTTCTTTTTTTTTTTTTTTTGCGGTACGCGGGCCTCTCACTGTTGTGGCCTCTCCTGTTGTGGAGCACAGGCTCCGGACGTGCAGACTCAGCGGCCATGGCTCATGGGCCTAGCTGCTCCACGGCACGTGGGATCTTCCTGGACGGGAGCACGAACCCGTGTCCCCTGCATCGGCAGGCGGACTCTCAACTACTGCGCCACCAGGGAAGCCCTTTAACTCAAATTTTTATTCAAGTAATTGTCGATTCATGCAGAGGGAGAAGTCATACAGAGATGCTTACCCGCTTTGCTAGTTTCTCCCAGTGATAGAATTTTGCACAACTATAGAATAAATAATAACCAGGATATTGACATTGATGTAACCTACTGGTCTTATAGATTTTCCCGTTTTACTTGTACCCCGTGTCTGTATGTGTTAAGTTCCGTACCATTTGTTAACTGTGTAAGTTTGTGTGTTCACAAGTTGTAACCCTAGCACTTGAAACAACACTGCTATGTAGTAGGTGTTGACAAAACTGTATATGTGAACAGTGGTATGGGGAAAATTGGAGTGTGTATTCCCCGCCTCGGTTGCCCTTACTTGCCTCTAGGCAGGAATGTAGATCCATGGTTGCCGGATGATCTGATTTTTTCTCCCCCCAAGAGAATAGGTATCTGTATTTTTTAAAAAAAATAAATTTATTTATTTTGGGTGCATTGGGTCTTCGTCGCTGCACCAGGGCTTTTCTTTAGTTGCGGTGAGCAGGGGCTACTCTTTGTTGCGGTGCGCAGGCTTCTCATTGCGGTGGCTTCTCTTGTGGCGGAGCACAGACTTTAGGTGCATGGGCTTCAGTAGTTGTGGCACATGGGCTCCAGAGCGCAGGCTCAGTAGTTGTGGCGCATGGGCTTAGTTGCTCCGCGGCATGTGGGATCTTCCCGGACCAGGACTGGATCCCGTATCTCCTGCATTGACAGGCGGATTCTTAACCACTGCGTCACCAGGGAAGCCCAATATCTGGATTTTTTTAATATGAAATCTAATTTTTAAATATAAGTTTAGATAGACCAAACCCATAGGCAGACTTGACTTTGGTTTGCCCACATGCAATCCCATCTCTGTTTTGGTGGAAACCTTTCTGTCCCTCTTCCCACAGGTCCATTATATGACGCACGGGGCCAACAATAGCTCGGCACGCCGTGGCAGGAAGCTGGCCATCGAGAACACCATGGCTCTATTAGGAACGGACGGAAAGAGGGTCCCCGAGATATTTCCCAAGGAAATCCTGGCCCCTTCGGTGAACGTGGACCCTGTTGTGTGGAATCAGTACGCCACCATGCTCAATGGTGGTCTGGCCATGAAGACCAACGAAATCTCTGTGATCCAGAGTGGTGGCATTCCCACCCTCCCGGTGTCGCTGGGGGCCAGCTCTGTGGTGAATAACACCGCTACCTCCAAGATGGATGGCTCCCAGTCGGCCATCAGTGCCGAGGTGGAGAAGCCAGGAGCTGCCGACAGCGTCCCCAAACACCAGTTCCCTCACTTCCTGGAGGAAAACAAGATCGCCGTCAGCTAAGCTACAGGAGAACGCACGTCGAAGGAGTAGTGCCGTGACCTCTCTAGAACTGTCCCTTTTTTGTTTGTTTTTCTTAAAGACCCCATCTCCTCCAGTTTTCTTCCTGATGTGCAAATAATGTTTACAGTTGTGACCACAACCTCAGGCACATCCTACAATCACAATGTTGCTATGCTGCTTTGCAAAAACAAACAAACAAAAAAGAAAAAATCAAAAAAAAAATTCATACTAAAACAAATATAGACTAGTATTTTTTTTTTTAATTTTGGAAAGAAGCGGGTCTTGCAAAGTAGTTTTGTTACTTGCAACAAACTATATACATAAAACCTTTGTACAACCTAGAGTAACTGTTTCCAAAGACTGTGCCCTATTTCAAGTTGGAAGGTGTTGAACCACCATGGAGAAGACAACTGTTTTGCCTGTTTGGGGGGTGGGGGGAGGGGTGGGTGGGTACTGTATACTTACTTCTGCGGTGACTGTATGCGGGTAAATGGACAAGGTCTGTCGTCTGTTTAGGGACCTGTTTGGTATTCTCCCAACCCTACACCCATCTTTCTTTTCTTTTTTGAATGTACTTTTTTTTTTTTTTAAAAGCCGAGGTTGTAGAATTCCAAATTTTTTTTCAACTTTGGAACCTGAAGTAGAATGCCCTCAAGTGGACAGATTTTAGTCCTTAGAAAGTCGGTGTGTGTGTTGCTGCTTATTTAAATACAGTTCAGTTGGAGTCCCAAGAGTGCCAAGGTGTCCTCCCTATGCTTTCCAGATGCCCTTCTTCTTCCTAAAACCAGGAGAGGTGAGCACCTGAGCAGGGAATCTCAGGTGACCTAATTTAGTTCACCGGTGCCTACTCTGAAGAGCTGGGTGTCCGTTCTTGAAGAAACAAACTCACAGGAAGGGCATGTCTTATTATACACTAATAACTTCTTATACTAATTTGTACCAGAAGTTCCTTGATTGTGACTTATGCCAAGTAATTATGAAGATTTTTTTTTTTCTGAGTATTGCATGAAGGCTACCAAGTTGGAACAGGCAAGTCCTGGATGTGAAAGCTTTAATTTATCTACCTCATTCATGTGTTATTTTTGTAGCTATAGTCTCTATTTTCTTATTTGATGACCGCTGAAGTGTTCCTAGGTCCTGTCGTAAACCTAAGAGTTGATGTATTGGTGGGAGCAGCTGGAAGTTCAACATGTTGTGATTCTTTTTTTCTTAATCCCCCTTTTGTATATGTGATATTAAGCAGACGATGAAGCGTTACTCTTGAGGATTTAACAAGGAAGGAGAAAGAAAGACCCACATTTCTGGGTGAAGTCTTTGCCCCTCTATGTGGACAAGTGGATTGTGACTGTTCTCAAGTCTGTCTCTCGGTAATTGCACCTGACTTTAGGATCCAAAAATAATTTTTTTTGTTTTGCCAAGTTGTGCCTTTCCTTCTGGAATTGTAAGTGAACACATAATAGTACCTGTTTACACTGTGAAGTGGATATTGTTACAGAAAATACACCAGAGGCTTTCTCACTTGTTAAGCTAATGCCTTGTGAATGTATGATCTACGGAGAAACCCCTGTAGTTTTTACCTGCTGATGCTGTCTGTCTGTTGGAGAATAAATTTTGGATGGTTCTTTTTTTCACCACCAGGTGTGTATGTAAGTTTTTCTGGTAGTTTCTGCTCTAAACTTGAGAATCCTGGACTTCCCTGGTGGTCCAGTGGTTAAGACTCCACGCTTCAAATGCAGGGGATGTGGGTTCGATCCCTGGTGGGGGAACTAAGACCCCACATGCTGTGCAGCGCAGCCAAAAAATTAAAAAAAAACAACCCTGAGAATCGTTAACTGACAATCGTTTCCAGCTCTCTTGGTCTCTCTAGGTCCTGGAATAGAAGCTGCACATCTGGTTACATCTATGCTTGACCCACTACTCAAGCACACACAGCTAACTACTTGCTGGTTGGTATCTTTCTTTTTTAAGGCATTTTATTAGAGTCCTCTCCTTCTAGAGAACTTTGCTTGTGTTCGCTTGTAACTGTGGAAAATTTATCAGGCCCTAGATGATCCCACGTTTCAACCCATCCATACCTGGTTACACGTCACAGGGCAGAGAGACAGATTCTGGTTTTTGTTTCTGATTTTTTTGGCCATGCCACACTGCATGCGGGATCTTAGTTCCCTGACCAGAGATCGAACCTGTGCCCCCTGCAGTGGAGTGCAGAGCCCTAACCACTGGACCGCCATGGAATTCCCAGAGAGACAGTATTTTAATCATCTCATACTTACAGGCTGGCTGCTTAGAAGGGGATGGGCTGAGAATCACATAGGAGGTGGGATTTAATTCCAAGGGAAGAATCTTAGGGTGGTGGGAAAAGTGCTCTTTGAGGAGAGACACAAGGGCAGGACCATGGTAATGTCCTCCTGGCATAGTACCCTCTTGTGCTGTGTTGTGTCTTTGCAAGACACGGCATCAGGCTCATTATGTAATGGATGTGGGTACCGCAGCATCCCGGAAAGGAGTCTTGACATCCAGGAAAGGTCTAGGAGTTGTGTCCATATTGCCTTTGACCTGATGTGAGCTCTGCGTGTCAACTTCTTTTGCAGGTGGATGCCCTCCTCCCCGGGGTTTGATGTTCTTTGACCTCAACTCATCTTAATTTAGGGTAAAGCAGCCACTCTTGACTGAGAGCGAGATAAACCCAATCGTTTAGATAATTGAAATGGAGGGATCTAAACCAGGGGTCCCCATCCCTGGGCAGTGGACTGGTACCAATCCATGGCCTGTTAGGAACCGGGCCACACGGCAGGAGGTGAGTGACAGGTGAGCAAGCAAAGCTTCATTGGCCGCTGCCCATCGCTCGCATTACCGCCTGAACCTTCCCCCACCCCTCGCATTACCGCCTGAACCTTCCCCCCACCCATGTATGTGGAAAAATTGTCTTCCACCAAACCAGTCCCTGGTGCCAAAAAGGTTGGGGACTGCTGATCTAAACTAATATGCCCTGGTCCCAAGTATTTAGAATTTTCATCCTTTCTCACAATTGATACTACCCTACAGCTAAGTTTTATGTCTTTCTAGATTCGAATGTATGAGAATTGTTTTACTTAAGTGGAAAATATGCTTTCTCCTCTCACATATTAGAGACATCTTTCCAAGGTAAAGCACATTTCTGGCTAATCCTTTTTAAATATCTGCAATAATACAAAAATGTTTAATCAGCTATTGCTGGACAGTAATTATGTTTCCTCCAGACTTTGGTTTTGATCATCTTTGTGGTCTAACTTTTCTTGCACTTGACTCCAGGGTGAATTCCTCCTTGAGGGATTGCTAGGACAAAGATTATGAATGTTTCCACGTGTGTTTGCAGTTGTTTTCGTAAGCATGTGTGTGTGTGGCTGTTTTCTCGGCCTTAATCTTTTTTTTTTTTTTTTTTTTTTTTTTTTTGCGGTACGCGGGCCTCTCACTGCTGTGGCCTCTCCCGTTGCGGAGCACAGGCTCCGGACGCGCAGGCCCAGCGGCCATGGCTCACGGGCCAAGCCGCTCCGCGGCATGTGGAATCTTCCCGGACTGGGGCACGAACCCGTGTCCTCTGCATCGGCAGGCGGACTCTCAACCACTGTGCCACCAGGGAAGCCCTCGGCCTTAATCTATGAAGCCAGAAGAATAGGTTGTGAGCAGTACAGCTGCCATAGAACGTATTCTTTTAACTTGAGACCTGCCTGTGTTGTGTGTTCCTCTGTGGGTTCCGTGTATTCACAACAGTTTTTGATACTTGATGGACGATTTGAGGGAGTTCCAAAAGGCTTTTGACTTTAAGAATAAACTTCCCGTTGTCAGTTATATCTCAGTAAAGCTGAAAAAAAAGAACTTCCACCTTTCCTGCTGGCCCTCTGCTTTCAGTTGGCACGCCCAGAACCTGCTTAAAGACAAGTGTTCTGGGAAAGGATTTGTTGCGTTGCATGAGGAACGTGCATGTGCAGAGGGCCTGGAGAAAGCTTGGGAGAGGCCCACCTCCAGGTGGAAAAGTTGCACCTTTATGGCGGCAGAACTTGCCAAGAGCCCCTGAGTCAGGTGACAGTTCAGCTAAACCCTAACCTCGCGGAAGGTGTTGAAAATCTGCACATTTACAGGAAGCCCTTCAATAGTTTCAAAAGTAACTCCGGTTGTTTACAACTCAGCAGATCCCTGAGCCCAAACAGGAAACTTACGTGTCAGGATACACAGAAAGTCCAGAAACAAAATCAGCGAGGAGTTAGATGAAACAGGTACATTTCAAATCGGGGGAAAAGAAGGGTTCATCGTGAGAACACTGGGTTTTCATTTGGGCAAGATGTCCCAGCTCAACACTTGGGCGGGGTGCCTGCCCTAAGACAAGATAACATGAAACCTTGGATATCTTGTCTGCAAAATGGGGATGATATTGGATTCATAAGACAATGGTGAGGTGATGCATTTTTATGCTCATCTAATCTGAGACATCGTAAGTGTAAAATAGTTAGCCATCACTATTTCCTGTTTAGTTCAGAAAATCAACACTATCCTAGTTGGTTGGGTATGATTTGTCCCAACGCTGGATCAGGCGGAGTCTCCTGGTTCAATCTTTTGGGACTGAGGAAGGAAGTCACGTGGGTCAGAAGCCCCCAGGCGGTGGGCAGCTCCTTTACCTTCAAGGTGATGTGGTTCTTTGCAGCTCATAACACGTGGGACATGCATGAAATGACATACATCGTCATTCTCTGATTAATAAAATGTGAAAAAAGAGTAGGCTGGTGGGGTAATTTCTAAGGTGGGTTTTCTGCGTGTCTTCAAATGTAGATACGTGAGTAATGGTATTTCAGCAGTAGTTACAATTTCATTGGTTCCTACCTGTACACTTTACCCCCTCTCCACCACCGCCTCCGACAAATTACCCCAGGACGTTTGGATGCTTGTGTGGTTGGAAGTTACAAAATGGCAGAACGTTGCTGGCTCTCCAGGCCCTTTCTTGGTATTGGGAGCCTATGCTGAATCAAAGAGCTGTATTTGGCTAACCTTGTGACTCCGACCTTGTCTTGATGGAGACCTAAACACCACAGCAGCTAATTCATACCTTTACTTTCTTCTCTCCTTGGCACCACTGATGTTATGGATTCTGTAACCATGTAAATCATTTAAAGGGGCACTTTTTCCAGTGGAGAAAGCATATACTTCTTGTGGAGTAATTATTCTCAGTCCTAGCTATTCCCCCAGTTTTGTTTTCTTGGTTCCAAACAAAATCATTAACTGCCTAAATAAGGAATGCTCATTTCTCTTCAAAGAAAATGAGTGAACTCTCAAAGTTGTTAA